AATTGCAATCTATTTTCCTGGGGAGTCCAGAGTCTACCAGAGTATCCCAGAAATGAAACTTTAGGCTTTGGATCTATGCAGTGTGAGCCATTGCCAAAGGCACTGCTGTGTCCAGTCTGCCTCAGCGCTTGCACAGCTGGCTGGTGGTGGCCCTGGAGAGGGAAGAGTTACTGCCATTTGCCCTACCTTGTATAAACCCCATATCACTTTTAGAAGAGCTTCCTTCTAGAAGATTCAAAACTGTACCTGCGCTCTCAGTTATGGACTTGAAGCTGTGTCATAAAGAGGAATCAGTAAGTACCCCATGTGTGGGGGGCCTCAGGATTTTTTCCAGTTGTTGGAGGAAACACACTGAGGAATGACACCTTCAACTTCCCCTCCTCAGAAGAGTGACTTGCTGCCTTTCAGGGCAGGCAGTGCTATCATGTCTTATGCAATCTTGTAATCACAGCTTAACCTTACTTTGTGGTTTCCTGGAGGCCATAAAAACAAATGAACAATGAGATGCAAAGCTATGGAAGCAAGAAGAGGTAACTGCTCCATTTCTAATTTTTTTTTTTCTGCAAAATAGAATTTCTTTTAGGGAATGTTTGCCTTTCCACTATGCACGTGCTCATTTTCAAGTTACATTGACAGCTGCTGTAAGTATTATACAGACTGATAAATTTAGCTTGTAGAGCTAAGCAACTCAATACAAAAAGGGTGGATGAATCCTCAGTTATATATCCCAGTGTAAATTTTGTGGTTTTCTGTTGTCTTTGATGGATTTGAGTGTCACATCTGCAATTAAACCCCACTCGTGTCTTTGTGCTATTTCTTCTCTATTGTATTTGAAACAGAAAAAAAAAAGGTGGTTTACATGACAAACCATGTCATTAAATATCAGCTAGGCAAAAACTGTATTGACTCAAATGGGGAAAAAATGAACCTCAGAAGTTTGGGTTTTACTGTCAACATTGTTCAATACTCCTGTAAATAAATATGAGAAGGGAGTGCTACAAGCATACAGTGAAGCACCTGTAGTGCAACTGGATTTAAATTAATCACACTACTGATGTTGCATGATATATAATTGCACTCCCATATCTGTCTTGAAGACTGCAAAACAAAGTCTGAATACCTCAACAATGCAAACTGTGAAATACAACAAGTTTAATAAGCAAATTTGCTTGCAATGCCAAGCTCTTTTCTAAAGGGCTTGCTGGATCATTACTCAATGGCTTTATTGTTTTGGGATCAGAAAGGGAGGACTTCAGCTCTACAATGCACAGTTTGTCACCCTTTGGATAAAGGAGCTGTGAACCAGAGCAGCGGGACATACTTGCACTTAACGCAGTGTGCTCTGAAGAGTGGAGCACATGCTGGCAGGACTTGAAAGCCCTGAAACGCCAGCCAGCTCTTCCAGTTAAATTGGTGAGACCTCCACATACCTGTGGGGTGTGAAAAGGCCCTAGTGCTCATCATTCTGCATTAGGATTGAGTTCATCTTATCAAATGGGCCTTTGAGCATATTGTGGAGTAATTTACCAACCGAAAAAATCATAACGATTTTCCACTTCATTTACCTCAACAGTAGCTACGTAATGTCAATAGTTTTAAACATTTAATTAGACACACCACGTGTTTTATGCTCTACTAATTACACAAAATTGTGCTCAATAATTTTCTTCCCATTGAAACAAACCTTAAGCAGCTGTTAAAACACTAATTAGGTGAATGCCTCCACGCTGTGCGTTTGGCTCGGTGCCGAGTGCATTCCTCCCAGTGGTGAGCGGGGTTTTTCCAGTGTCCATGATGCAGCCGTGAACACATGTCAATCTCTGCTGCACCACAGAACTGAGTGTGAACTCCAAACATTTATTTTGGCCCTCATCTTAGAAAACTAACATTATATATATAAAATGCAACAGTTCAGAAAGCTGTTCAATTATACTGGGCTCTTAGTTTTCTGTGCTTCCATTTTTATCTCCTAAGAGCAGCTAAATTTGACACAGAGCTTGTCATTTGCAATCTCCTATGAAATCAGCACTTTTTATTACATCGGAGCTGCCTTACAGACATTATCTCACAATACAGTCAAATAAAAATGGATTGCTGAGCCTGGTACAAATGAAGCCTTTAGTACTTAGATACTTTAGGGTTATTTTGTTCCTCAAATGTTTTAAAAACTTACCTGAATCACAGTTATCCATGCATACAGTTGCAGGGGCTGGGAAAATATTTTTTGTTTTTCAGTTTTACCAAGAAGATAATCCAGAGAGGTTTTATTTATTTTAAATATCCTTGAGAAAGGACATTCAAGTCTTACCATTGACAAATTTGGTGAGCCTAATGGCATCCAGAATTGAGTCAGTACCTCTGAATGTCTCAAATGGCTTCACTTAGAGCTTTAATCCTGGCTGTAACTCCAGTAAAATCAGGTTCTCTTAATTAGTGACTAAGCCTGTACAGCTGCAGGCCTAATCCTGGCATTCCTACAAGGACAGAGGCCTGGCAGAGGGGACCAGATTGCCAATAACAGGAACTGTCATAGTTCCTACCTCAGCAGTCCCCCAAACCTGGTCATGCCTCTATGAACTGGGATCTTGCTCTTGACCACATTCTGATTATTCCAGACTCAGGATTTGTTCCTGAAGAATTCCAATGAGAAGAAATTGCCCATAATGGCCATCCTCAAAAACACACAGGTATACTTTCCTTTAGATATATTTTTTTAATCAGACTGTAGTGAGTGTACGTAAATCAAAAATTAAAAAAAACATAGGGTTTTTTTTGCCTTTGACAAATTTTTAAGTGGTATCACCTGAGTATGCTTGCTGCTTCTACAGCCATGACAGTATGCTGTAGTAACTAGGGTGAAAGTAACTAGGGTGTCATTGAGTCTCACCATTAAATTTTTGAGTCCTAATGCAGAATTCCCTTCCTAAACTGTTCCTTTTACAAATCAAAATAGCAAATCTAGTGTTTGTTTTCCCATCTTGCAGGATAAAACATCCCCTAATTCCAACAGGCTGATCTAGGAAAATGTCATCTAAACAGGCTGATTGGTGTCCAAACATCATTACTGCAGGAAAAACAAATAAACAAACAAACCATAGACTTTTTTGTGCTGTTAGAGATGAAAATGTAAGTCCTTTTCAAAAATAAGTTGGGGAAGTCTCATACCTGTGAAAGGCAGGAATTAATCTAAGATATACTTCTGATAAATATTTTAATGGGATGAGCATGGGCACTTGCCATGTATTTGGTATTTTAATTTAGTACATGATAGCCACTGTGTTGGCTTCTGCTTTTGCGTGGACTTGTTCAATGTACAAGGATATTCTGTAAGGACAAGGATATTCTTAATTTTACATGCATAAAAAAAACTGTGAAGATTCACTCAAGTCTTCTTCCAGAAAATGATAGTGGAAATTACACTAGTGTGGAAGAATCACACTGCACAAATGCTGCTCTCTTCTGTAGCCAGTCATTAAGTTTGGAAAAGACTTCTAAGATCATTGGGAAAAGACTTCCAAGTTCATCGAGTCCAGTTATTAACCCAGCACTGCCAACGCCACCACTGAACTATGTCACTAAACAACACATCGACAATATACACTTTCAGGATGTATATTCCACCACTTCCCTGGGCAGCCTGTTCCAGTTCTTGACCACCCAGTCAAGCCTGTTCTAGTGCCTGATCACTGAAGATATTTTTCTTCATGTCTGTACCTCTCCTGGCACAGCTGGAAGCTGTGTGCTCTTGTCCTGTCACTTGTTAGCTGGGAGAGGAGCCTGAACCGCACCTGGCTACAGCCTCCTTTCAGGTACTTGTAGACAGCAAGGTCTCCCTTGACCCTCCTCTTCTCCAAGCCAAACACCCCCAGCTCCCTCATCTGCTCCACATCAGACTTGTGCCCCAGACCCTTCCCCAGCTCTGCTGCCCTTCTCTGCACTCACCCCAGCCCCGCAATGTCCCTCTTGTCATGAGGGGCCCAAAACCAGACACAGGATTTGAGGTGCAGCCTCAGCAGTGACAAGTCCTTTCTCAAGCTGAGGGCTGTTCACTCATAGCAAGACCCCAGCACATCTTTCCAACACTCTCATCTCACATCATTTGAAGATGGGATTGGGATCAGATGACTTCCCAAGGTCCCTTCCAACCTGAACATTCTACCATGCCTGCAGAACACTGGCAATCACATCAGGTGGCCATAACCTCAGTACCTTTCACACACAGCTCATTTCCTATTTATTCCTTTTTCCTGCAGGAGTCAGTTACACTCACCTGCCTCAGCCTGAGTACCTGAATTATTTCCTTTTTACACACAACGTGCAGCAGAGTACAGGGTGCTACAGGGTAATTTTCCCTTTCCAGCTTCCATATTTATTTCACCGAAACTTCCTTTATCAACCACATTCATGTTCTTAGAAATGTGTTCGTTTCAATAAAAATGACTTACTGTTTTATGGAAGTTGAAGGCCAATGACCCAAATCCTGTAAATCATTAAAAATACTTTCTGCCATAGAATCCTAAGTTGCTTTTTTCTCAGTAGCAGAGAAAGTATTTTACTATAAAAAGTTACATTTTTGCCCACACTAAAAATTCTGCATTAAAAATACACTAAATGAGGGACAGATGTTTAAAACAGCAGACCTACAATGAAGTATTAAATATTGCTGGCACAGTGCGCCCTTTGGTACAGTTTGGTCTCTTTTTGCAATAGGCATGTTTTCACAGCTGTAAAAGCACCAAAAATTACTGTCTCTGCTCCAATATTAATATAGAAATCTATTAAAAAATACACCAGACTGCTGAACAGATTAAACTATTGTTCATACATTCTATCATTAAAATAATTTGCTTTAAAAATTAATATTAATGTCAAATGTTTTGAAATTGGTTAAGAGGAATAGTGTCACTTTGAAGAATACATGGATTATTTATACAAAACCAAACAATTCTACTTTTTTCAAAATAAAAATGCAAGCCTTCAAGAAATCAAAGAAATCAAACCTGCTACTCGATGTTTTGCTCAATGACAAGCTGTCCGACCCACAGCAGCACAGAGGAGGTGAACGACCTTGCGCGAAATCACTCCAAACCCACGCTGAGGATGCAGTGTAGGATTAAAGCCCTTTTCCACAGGTACTGGTGGTGCCTTAGAGCTATGGGAGAAAGTGAGACAGGTCATGGAAGCGTAGATTCTGTGGTCTAAGGGGGGTTTGTGTTAAAACACGATAAACATAAACAAGATGGGCAAAGAGATAACATATAGAAAGAATGATAATATTAAAATCTTTAGACCTAGTAACTGTGAGGATGAACTTGGTAAACCCATAAACCACAGTAGGACATGTTCACCACTATACATAGGTTCTGCTACATTAAAGATTTAATTTCTATATCCCAGGCTGGTGGCTCAAAGCTCCAAAATCAATCACAAGTTCACACTCCTTGCGGAATTTTGTTTCAGTCTGTGCTTCATTTACTTGAGCACTAAGCAATCTGATCATCATAGTCCTGATGAAGTGATGCCTACCTAAGTTTGCAACCTGTCTGGAATAAGAATAGGTCTGAGATATCCATAGCTCTATTTGTTTTAGTCAGTGCTACTTCAAATATCAATTAGGAACATTAGTCCTTGTGACATGAAACTCTTTTACTACTCGAAGCAAGGAGATGAAATGTTACAAAAATCTGCATATAAGGTTTAACGAAAGTTGGAAGACTTAGCTTGGATCTGTGAGGGAACCAGGAAAAAATGATTCTGTTGAATGCGCACGAATCTAATAATCTTTGTCCAAACTCCTAACAAAGAAGTGATGGGATGCTGAGGAGACACAAAGCTTGATTAAAAGCTCAAAACCCCAGAAACACTGTTGTAAAAGCTAGGGAAAAAACCTAGAAGAACAGGCAGAACAAGGCAGGATGAGGACACAGCATGTTGGCCAACCAGCAGGATGCTAGCACAGGCAGTAATAGAAACAAAACCACACAAGGCTTTGGGAGCACAGCTCCTGCTCAATAAACAAATTCCTTGGACTGGAGACATTTTCTTGGAAGGAATTTTTATGGCACAAATATTTCTACTCTCTTCTGGAAGCCCTGGAAAACCAAACCCAAACCTCCCCCACACTGTATGCACACACACAAAACCTGAAGACATCGACACCCCAGTGAATCTGGATTGTCATGCTCTAGAAAGCTCCTTGTTATCTGTCTTGAGTAGGTCTTTGCTGAGAAGGTTCTACCCATCTGTGAAGCTCAAAGCCCACCTCATAACTGATTCCTGCCCTGAAGGATTGCCCACATCTCAGGAAGCCTTGTTGCCGTGGTGGGCACGTCCCACCCAGAGCCCCACCAGACTTCCCCAAGGATGGGGCTGCAGCTGTGCACACCGGGGGATGCAGAGGCGTGAAATGGCAGCACTGCCACAGTGGCCAGCACAGCCCAGCACATAATGGAACAAAGAGAGCCCCCACCCTTCTGGTTAGACAAAAAAACTCCAGGGACTATAAAATATAAGGAGGGAAGGGAGAGGGGGGAGTAAAAACAATCTCTGGGCAGGAAAACAAGATAAATTCATTGAATAAATTATTTACTGGAATTATTCACTTAGCTTCAATTACAATCTATCCATTCTATCCACCATCTACATCAAATTATAATAAATTATTCTATTATAACTTGGCTTCATGCCTGCTGATTTGCAATAGCTTATTTTTTCAGAAAATAATGGTCTGATGCTGTTCAGCCTTGCACAGGATTTAGATGTGCACACCTAGACATACCCAAAAGACAATTTCTTTTTGAGAATCTCACTCCTTCTGTAAATTAAAGAGAGGGGAGCAAGCATATTATATTTAAATTGCCAGCAGATATTTTAACAACATAAAAAAGACCCAAGATACCAAAACAATATTAAAACAAACATATCCTATTGCTTTCCTGAAGAGTTTGGCGTATGTCTTGTACTGGATACTCAAATGCAGTTCTGAGAATATATAAGCACTCTCCATCCTTCTGCCATCAGGTCTCTTTACAGAGCAGATGTTTTAGGATTCTTCTGAATCTAAAATATCTTGTTCTGCTTCATCAGACCACCTCTGAAATTCATAAAGAGTTGTATTTAAAAATAATTACAACATAATGCAAAAAAAGGAAAAAAAAACCCCATGAAGGCTGCTTTTTAATGTAATATATAAAAATAAGGTTAGTTTCCACAGCCGCAGAGATGATTTCTTTTTTAGGAATCCAAACCTGCACTGAGTTAAAATGAGCACAGGTCAAACTAAATAGTTACTCTGAAAGAACAGCAGGCAAAATATGCAGTAAAGTCAAGGGTTTGCAAACATGAGAATACTGCTCACCTTCCTTTTCTCATTCCCACACTCCTACTGTCTCTGTGCCTATAAGCTGATCAGTCAGACACTGAAGTTTTAATTCTATATACACTGTAATTTTTACAACATCCTTGATTTCAGCACAGCATGTATCATATTGTGGATGAAAGCGGAAATAAATAAGGAAAAAGGAGAGCAAAAAGCCTGAATTTTGCATATTTTCCCAGTAGTTTACAAAACAACACTACAAAGCAAGAGATAACTGAAGCATTATGGATCTCTCTTACCAGGGGCAGCTGCTGGAGCCGCAGGCTGAGGCCAAACTCTACCCATGTGAGCAATCTGAAGGCAAAGTTAAACCAGGTGGGTGAAAGGGTGGGCACGCTCTGAATGGGATAGAGTGGTTCTGTCCCATTCAGAGCATGGCAAAAAATGAAGGACAATGTAGAAGACAGTGGCACAGAGGAATTCCACCACAAATTCAAGAACCTGAAAGCACCTTGGGTGTAGCCACCTCAGGTTCTACCTTTTCAAATATGCATCTCAGAAAAAAACGCCAGACATCACACCAGCAAGATGAAAGCAATGCTTACTGTCTCGGTCACCCTTACAGGAAAAGTGTGGAGTTTTATTTTCCTAGTATCAATTTGTTCTACTGTGCTAGAAGTGCTTTTTTAATCCTAAAAACACACTAGCACTACTTCCATGTAGTTTCATTGCTGTGTCTACTGCCATTAAAGGCTAAGCATATACTTCAAGACAATAATTCACTTAGCCAGTTGCCAGAGCCAGCATTATGTGAATAAGCTTGATAGATCTCTGTTCCTAACCTATCAGAAAACAATTTATGGAATCTAATAAATTAAAAATGAATTGTCTCCAGCAACCATATATTTCACAATAAATGTACGCTCTTTGATCTCAACTGACTGTGCTATGTTCTAATTAATTTTTATACAGAAGTTTGCTATTGCCCCTTAAATGGATTTTATACACAAGACTAATCAGCTAGCATTTTCAGCTGTGCCTTTGTCTTTTCACCTTCCAACCAAGTTAAAAATTCACAGAAATCTAGAATTTATGGCATAGCTTTCTACATATAAGCCTTTTCAGTTTAAGGAAGGACAGACCCATATTTTTTCTCTGCTTTCTTGACCCCAACAGGCACATAATAGAAAGAAATATGTGGCAACAGCTTAAGGACCTGCCTCTAGACACCGTGACTGTGGAAATGAACTCCTTTCTAGCTCTCAGCTGCTTTCTTACCCAGCAAAAGTATTGGAGTTAGTCACTGTGTATCCCCTCCATGATATTTTGAGATAGGTACTGAGCCATTTGGTATTGCTGTTTGGAATGGCAGGGCAGCTGGCATGGAGCAGGGGTTTGGCCCTATTTCTGCTGGGGTGCTGTAACTGCCCATTCCTGAGTGGATTTTCCTGTGTCAATGACCAAGAACCTGGAAAAGACATCCATGACTGCAGTACAAAATCCCCAATTTGGACTGGATGGCCTATGCCTGGATTATTTAATGCATATGATGTGTAGGTTCTGGCATCAGGGAAAGAAAATACCAGTGAGGCTGGGGCAGAAGGCATTAGCTTGGGGGGTAAAGGAAAGGAGAAATGGAGAGCTTGGCCACTGATGCCGTTTACCTCCTGCTTTGCCACAGCAGGTAGATTCCGTTCACCTGCAGGACTACAACGCAATAAAAAATTCTAATTCATTAGAAATGAAAACGGTTACTCCCTTGTCCAAATCCTCCTCTGTCTTTATGAATTCATGTAGAAAGGGCCAAGGCACTTTATATTTTTTTGCATAGCACCATCCTTGCTTAAAAGTAAAAATCTGTGCCTTTGGTCTACCTGCTATGAATCTCTGAAGGGCACTATGATGCAAACACTTAAGCTATGAAATATCCTCTAATATCTTTTATATCCATATACAGACATATATAAACACATATATATGCTTTGAAAATTAAAATAAAAGGTTAAGGAAATGAAAAAAGCATCCCATAAAGCCCCAGTGAGAAAGAGAAAAGCTAATTCAGCCTCAGCATCAGGTATCACTACAAAACAAAAAATTCTTGTGGCATACCATGTGGTCTAGAGACACCAGTAAAGTTGACATAATATCCACTTAACAAAAGGCCAGAAAACTGTCCCTCTAGAGTGGCTTAAGTATGTGAGGATCCTGCCTTGGGATACAGCCAGATGACCCTGGGAGATCTCTTTCAGCATTTTTCTATGACTCTGTAGAAACAGTAATGGGGATTTTAAAAGCTGGTATTTTAAAAACATTCTTTGCTCTGGGGAGAAACTCTGTCAAGAGGCATTCTTACACTTTGATACTGTCTTCCTACAGACTGATATTACAAGTAAGTAAGAATATGCAGAAATTAAATTATGCTTTTAGACCATGGAGTGGTAATTTTATTTTTTTTTTTTCACATACAGACCATACAAGATCGTTTATGTTAAATGTTCAAAAATTAAAATAAATTCCATAATACAGACAGGAAGTCAGTGCAATGGGAACCAAATGGGAGTAATGGGACCCAGGTGGTTGGAATGGGTACAAAAACCCACATAGATGGCCATGTATGGCACAAATTGGAGCCTGGAGATGATTATGCCAAAAGAAAGAATGGCTGTAAACTGTTAATTATATCAATGCAAACTTGGTGACTTACCACTGAGGAACAAGTGATGAGGGAGAAGTGTATAATTTACAGCTTTAATTGTAGCTAATACAAACTGATAATGTAGATACTGAAACTCTACCATATTAAGGAATATATCAGTCTAGAGCAGCGTGTGCAG